AAAAAAAAAAAAGGAAGAAAGAAAACAAACACAGAACGGTGAGTGAGGCCAGACACAGCGTATGTATGTGAACAGACAGCAAACAGTGGGCACCCGAGGGTCACCCGCCTTGAAGATGGTTTTCCACCTGATACTCGTTCTCTTAAGTGGTGGATCTATTGCAGAAATCTGTGTGGTGCCACCCCTTCATCCCCATTTCAAATGAAAACAGGGGGTTCTGATCACAACACAGYCTGGGCTGCTTTTTAAACCCTACTTTGGGACAAAGGTCCAAAGGAGTGAGCTTATACCTTAATGCAATCTGCTTTTGTTATCGTCAAAAGCAAACGTCTTCTGAABGTATTTAAAAACTACATCCAGAGTGAGTCTTGGCTTTTCTTCCCCCATCCTCTGGTTCCCCATATTCTGTTTCACCACTGGTAACACAACCACACCAAAAGCAACAGAAAAAGACAAACAGCGGACAAAGAGACCACCCAAGAAGTCATGAGGGTGGGAAGTGTGGAGTGCCACTAGGCAGGTGAACTCTCCCGGTGAGAGGGCTTCAGCAGCAAGGCTACAGAGAGGGAACAGGAGCTCCTGGAAGGGGTCATCAGCGGTCCCTAAGGGATGTGTCATCAGCACAGCTTAAGTCCTTTTTTTTAATATTCATTCTTAAGTATTAGGTGGACACAATACTTTACAATTATGTGGTACTGAGGATCGAACCCAGTGCCTCGGGCATGCTAGGTGAGTGTGCTGCCACTGAGCCACAACCCAGCCCCACAGCTTAAATCCTTTAGGGCAGTGTTCTGAAAACTTTGGAGTTCGGGGAGGAGTACATTTAAAGTGTCAGTGCTCAGACTAAAGCACACCACAGACACTGCGTCCATTGGGATGGGAGGCTGCCTGGCTGAGCCAAGGTCGTGTAATTACCCTGACACGAAGAAGGCTCAGTGACCGATGATAAAACTCATGTATGAAGAAAGAAAACAAAGACTCGTCCGTGCACACAAGCGTGCACACACACACACACACACACACACACGCGCGCGCGCGCGCGCTCGCGCACGCATTTCCCATGAGATCACACACAGCCACAGGAACCAACTTCATCTGGACGTTGTGCGCAGCTGCCTGACATACTTGTGGACAGAGCAAGCTGGTTAGTGGCCACAGGGAGACAGCTGAACGGACACGGAACGTGAACAGCAACAGGCATTGTGATTAGTTACCACGTGTCTACTGGAGAGGAGGAGCCCAGCCTGCCACAGTCCCAAACGTCTTCTACGTCAGCTCTCCTTAGGAGTGGGGGAGAGGCAGCTGACCAGCACACCAAGGGATGGAGGCAGGGGAGGGAAAAAAACAGAGTGAGAAGAGCAGCACTCGTGATGCCATGCAGGGTCCTAAAGAAAGTCTCTCTGCCTTTATTAGCCCCAAGGCAAGAGCTGGTATGCCACCACCTGGATTAGTCCTGTGCTGAGACCAACCTTCTGCCTGCTCAGGAAAACTCTCGCCATGCAAGCAAACCAAGCCAGCCCCAGAGAAGCATTCCACGCGGGCCGCGCGAGAACCGGAGCACTCAAGCCCATCCACTCGTGGCACTCCTAAGCTCCACGCCAGCAGTCCGCAGACGAGGATCCACTRTCAACCAGCAAGAGAGTGCACAGCACGCAGTGCTCGGCCAGCCCTGCAGGACATCCCGCACCTGCAGCACTGTGCCTGTGACACGGCCCCAGTCCCCACGCAAGCTCTACGTAGCTTATGTGGGTTAGCTCTCCAGCCCAGGCAGGAAAGGCAAGGTCCTGCAATCAGACACACTGCACTTAAAGGAGTCCTGTGAGAAGTCACAAACAGAAAATTTTTTCCTTGCTGGTAGATTAAAATATATATATATATATTTATTTATTTTTTAGTTTTCAGGTGGACAGAAAATCCTTATTTTATTTTTATGTGGTGCAGAGAATCGAACCCAGTGCCTCACGCATGCTAGGCGAGCATGCTACCACTGAGCCACATCTCCAGCCCTTGCTGGTAGATTTTATTGTCAACTCTTACTGTCCCAGTTTGGGGTAGGGAGGGAAATTACTAAAAGGAGGAGCCCCACATCATCACACCAGGCTAGGACCATTAGGACTTCCTGACCAGAGTTTTGTATCGACCCAATGAGAAAGAAGACTCTTGTTAGGTTAATGCTAAGAAATTAAACTCAGGTAGGGCAAGTGAAGTCTGCAGCTTCAGAATCCCAAACGCAGAGTGGACCATCCCAAACAGTGCAGCCCACCCTGTCCAAAAGGGACCTGCAGAGCAGGGGCCAGCC